CCATCGACATCTCCGCCGCCGCGTGGACGGGAGGCAAGCAGCGCGGCGGCTGGCAGACGCTCGCCGACGCCACGGAGCACGGCACGAACGAGGCCGCGCGCAACGTCAACCGCATGGCCGAGTCCGTCCTCATGCTCCTCGGCTACGCGGACGACATCGAGGCCGCCGTCGTCGCCCGCGCCGCCGCCTGAGCGCGCGCGCGCGCGAATCCCCCTCGCACCCCTCCCGTTCCCCGGCTTCTACGCGTCGCCTTCGAACGTTGCGCCGGAAGGGCTCCAATGCGGGCGCCCCATCTCTCCGTATACGTCGCCGAGAGGCGTCAGTAGGCGTCGAGGACCGGCAGGTCTACGAGCTCATGAGCGAGCCCGTGATCGAGAGCGCGAACGCGATGCGAGGCTGGGGCTCGAGGCGCGACCACGACGCCCGCCGGAGCGCCTCCTCCCTCCCGCGATCGGGCACCGGGGGGTGCGGGCACTCTACGTCCGCCGACGGCCGGGGCGCGGATCAAGAATCGCGCGGGCGGACGAACGATCCGATGTGAAGGCGCGAGGAAGGAGGCGGGCGGTGGGCGGAGGGGGGTCGCGAGGGCGCCGGCGCACGCGAGCAGGTTTGTCGCCACAGTCGCGGGTCGCCCGATCGCTGGTGCCAGCACCACCTCTGGCTCGCGAGGTGCGGGTCAATGGCTCGCGAGGTGCGGGTCAATTCACGGCGCGGCAGGCCGTGGCCCCCTGCTTGGCGCCCGGCGCACCTGGCGCCTGCGCCGGGGCCCGTGGACCACGCGCACTCAAGGCGAACGTGCGTTAGATCAATAGAGGGGTGCTGTGCAAAAAAAGGGGGGGTCGACCAACCGGCGCCGTCGCGGACTAGTCCATGGTGAAGCCCGTCGCGTCCATGGCGATGAGGACCTTGAGGCCGGCCTCGAGCTCGGCGTAAGAGGAGTAGAGGGGGAGGTCGATGCGGTTGAAGCACGTGTGCGCGCGCGGGAAGCGGAGCTCGTTGCGCGGGAGCGACTGGATGCAGAAGCGCTGGTACTTGCCGTCGTTGCGCTGGAGCGCGCGGAAGCCGTGGCAGGGCACGCGGCTCGAGCCCGTGCAGAACTGGAGG